TTTTGAAAGTAAAACCGCTAGTCAGGGTTTCATGGATTTTTAATTGCTCTTGATGATGAAAATTTCTTTCGAAATTCTATATACTTTGGTTTTACTACTGACTGATACTCATTAGTTGTCTCAAATACCATTAAGATGGTTTGAGGGCCATTTAAAATAACATAATTAACGAGTTAAAAGTAATGTTACGTTTGACCGTAATAGTTAATTTGAAATTTCTGTTAGCTTAGTTCCACTGAATTGAGTGCTTACCACCAAGTTAATGAATATGAATGCAGAACAAGATTTTTTTAAAAATTCGTACAAAAATAATTACATCGATTCGACATAATCTAAAAGTAGCTTAGTATGGATCCATATGAATAACGGAAAAACTCTATCAAACCAGAAAGTTTTTGGCCATTATTTTGTTGTAGACTATCACTTCAGAGCATTACATACCTATGACGCAACAAAAGTTGTAAACAAGAATATTTGGTCCTCTCAAAGTACAAGAAACATATGGGTAAATGCCTTTAAATCGAATGATTCAAACTTTTTGGATTCAATAATGTAGTACGGTTAATTCACAGTCTATAATAACTGTGAAGTCTAGTTCTCTCTGGTTTTCAATGTTACCCATTTGATATGAAACTATATAAATCTTCACACAATACTTATGCTAGAATTTGATACTTTTTGTTCATAAACCAATTTGGTATGTATATTCATGTATGAATTAAACGTCAAGTTTTGTCAGTTTATCAAACAACATAGCCTGATTTTAAACATGTCAGCTAGGTTAATTGGAAAAGTCTTTTTACATATGTTGACTTTGATGAAATTGAAAAACCTGGAAGTTTTAATTTATGTAAAATAATTGTGACAACACATTAACCCTTTATGAATATTATAACATTGTCTCAAATTTCCTAATCCTTGAATTTTAAAAACAAACGCCACACTATTCTAAAATATGCTGATTAATTTAAATTTAGATTTGTATGGGAGAATAGATAAAGTTCCACAAATCTTATTTACCTACTGGCTTATTAAGTAAGTCGCATGACGTTTTGTATATGCAGTTCTCATTATCTGCATAAGCTTTGAAAAATTACGCCAACAAAACAAGAAAAAGAGTTGATGACATGACGTAATAACGTAAGTTTAATATGATTAGTAACAGCAGATATCTACAGCTCTTTCTTTCAAACAAATCCGGTTTCAAACATTTGTTACCTGTAATTTTAGCAAAGTTAAAAAACCCGAAGCTCGACTGTTTACTTATTACCCTGACAATTTCACGGTGTTTCAGAGATAACTTGAAAAAGGAGTGTGGAAAGTTATTATTTCGTTTGACTGAAAGTTACTTAAAAATTCCTCGCTAATTCGAGTATAGACCCTTCTTCCCGTTGTGTTAAAGTACCTGTTTTCTCATTGATATGTACATTTATATACACAGCTTATGGAAACATTAGAATAATAGTTATCGATCTCTGAATTTTTTACGGAATATTACGTATTGTATAAGATTTTTGATTTGAATACATGTTGCTTTCTATTTAAGATAGTGTTTAATCTTCTCCTAACTCTGAAGTTGTGACATATGCACATAATAAAGACTTTATTTGGATTTCCAATCTAACCAACTTCATCATTATAATAAGGTTAACCTACATTTATCATTTTGAATTTAAAGTATCAAGAGTTTTAAGTAACTGATGTAAATAAGGCGTAATAAAGGGAATTCATATTATTCTGGTAGAATTTGTATTTTTGATTACCTTTTATCAAATGTTCTCATTTGATTTATCTAAATGTGTCACATCATTTAATTTGATAACTTCCAACTAATTAGTAAATTTTTATCTAAATGTAACTACGTTTATTGAAATTAAAAGTTGAATTTCTAAGCATATTAACTTTGAACTTTAAATGCACTTGGTGTTGTTTACTTGTATCTTCCCATTGTTATCTAGGACTACAATTGATCAGTTTCTTGTTGGCACATGTGCATTCTGTGCCGACTGCGTACGTGTTATCAGGTACATTCAGCTGACGAGTCCCATATGACGAAAATTGCGCCCTGGATTCTACTGCTAGCTACTATCGATCTTTGCTTATAAAACTTTGAACTGTATTATCATTTAAATGAAATGTTCAATTCACTATGGAATAGCTTGGAAATGAAACCACCAAAAATATATTCTTATCACTAAATCTTGTATTTTAAAATTACTACCGAGTAAGGATATTTTTGAGCTAATATTTAGCACTTATAATCAATTGTGGTGTGGTCTACTTATATCTATATAAGTAGTATATGGTATGGGTCAGACATAGAAAGTATTTTCGCAGAAGACCGATGAAGAAAGAACTAAAATGAAGCGCAATCGGAAGGAAAATGCATGAGCAATGGAATAAGAGAAGAAACAGTGAAGATTGAAACAATTGGTTGTTAATTTGCAAATTGACTGTTCATTGTTTGGTTATCAGAATTTACTGAGATAGTCTGTAATCTTCCCTTAAATACATTCGATTGTCCCCAACCAGTGTTCTGTTCACTACACAATCATATTTCTTATTCGCTTAGATACAATTCTAGAGAAAAATTTTCTAAATTTATTATATTTCCGAATATTTGATATGTATCTAGCAGCAGAAACCAAGAGGAGGACTTTATCCTATTTAGAACCTATCAGCTTGATAACTTACACTACAGTGTTAGTAACCACAATGAGTCTTCAACCTGGTACCTTTCGCTTCATAGGCCAAACACGTTGTCCACTACGCTACTGAGTTCGAATAGACAATAACTTGTTCCACGAGTATTAATGTACCAATACCCATTGGACGAGTTACCGGTAATCTAGTAGATAAGGAAAAGGGAGATGTACCAAATGTAATAAAACTTTTGACAACGTTCAAATAAAGTAATCTGCTCAGAATGCACATATGGAAATAAAAACTCATCAATCGGAGTTCTAAATATCAACAACGGGAAAATACAATCCCTTATCAATTGTATTATATCTTATATGCATGAATTGACTAAGTCAGTAAAATAAATAAACTTTGTATTTCATATTTACCGTACTTATGCCATATAGCATGGGTGTACAAACAGAACTCAACAAGAACCTCCAAGGAAGTATGTATTTGTGCCATGTCTTATTGCTACATTATTATAACCTGTTACCAAAAGATTATCGTGAGAATCTGTTAGGATGGATATGTTAAAATGGAGATCATTTACATATAATAACAGTTAATGTTTTCGAGTCTCACCATGAGAATGAACATTAGAATGCATGTATTTTTGAATGACGAAACATATACAGAATGAAACACTCTCTTTGAATTTACCGTTAATCAAAATACAAAGATATAGTGAAAGTCGTATTTGCAAGCATTACAAAGGTCTATACTCAAAGTGTACAGAAACTAATCTAATGCAGTACTGAATATCAATAAAATGAACCCCTGAAATAGTTAACAAATATTTATTTACTTGGTATAAGAGTTTATTTTTTCTTGACCAGAGATATTTCTTAAAATGCGATTGTGATAGTCGACCAGACTCGGTCCCAGATGGAATTAAGGATGCAAGCTAGTGTACAATTCCATACTTAAGCGGAACAGATTTCTGATGTTCTTTAGTTTTCCTTAGTTATTTAACTAAGACAAGGCAGTAACATAAACTAAGAAATTCCATAATCTCCACAGACGTTTTACCATCACAATTGGTTTATTAAATGATCCTAATCGTGTTTAATATTCTTTGTACAAGAAATATATCTGAAACCTAACTAGTTGGAAACGTCAACTATTAGCTCTTTGCTTTGGTTGTATGGTGTTTGCTTCATAATTCCTTATAATCATTGATTTAACCATAAAATTGGATTATTAAGGTATCTCAATACAGGATAAAACAGCTATTCACTATGATAACTGATTTGAACTGGTTTTTCAGTTAACATCATTATCACATGATCAATAATGTCTTTATTGTTAAATCGGCTTGATTTTATGTGAAAGTTACTGTATTTAGCAATCGGTCACGGTTTTTCTACATGTAAAATAATCATAGCATCAGCAATAATTTAATAATGAGTGACTGATAATTTTTTCCATGTCATTTTATTGGGATTGAATTATTAAGAAAAAGTCAGATACCTGTTTCATCCTATTCGGGACTTCACATCTGAATGCACCTGCATTCCATGGATAATAGTCATATAGCTAGTTGAACCCATTGAGGAATTATCCACTTAAATATTGAGTCCAAATAGTTCAAATATCCTAGATAGGAAGAAAATTATATATTGAATTCTAATTCTAACTATATACCAAATGTATCAAGATGATGTTATATTGTGGGGGGAATTCGAACAAGACTTTATACAGGAAGAGAAACCGATCAGTTGTAATGCTGAATATTAAAATACCACTATAAATGAATTGCATTGTCGTAACTCATTTTATAAGCATGAAATAATTCATAAAAGTTCTGCTAAACTGAGATTTATTTTTATAAGTTTATTTAAAAAATATATTTATTGATTCAGGAAAAAAACTCTCCAAGACAGTGAAAAGAACCTTTTCTATATCCATCCATAACATGTATTGTATTTTATTATCTATCATGAATAGGATTAAACGAATAGAATGTTTTCCATGTTATTTTAATCAAGAAATATTATTTTCATAATAGTTATTTCCTGAAAACAAATTTTTTACGAAACTTCCTCCCCCCTTATTCCATTGTTAATTTAATTAGTACAATAGTTATTTTGAAATAATTGGTGTGTGCTCGTCATTCTATAAAATAATTTCTTAGTAACCCAATATTTATTTTCGGTATTGTTTATTTGCTTCCATTACTATTATTATTATTATTATTATTACTATTATTATTATATTCACAAATATGTTTTTTTCGATATTTTTAACCAATCAAAAAACAAATAAACAAACTCTCAATTATTTTAATAACCAAATTTATAAATTTAATCAGATTTCATGTAGTATTTATGTATATACTATCTATCATTCAATTGTCAATAGTTTAATAAATGTCATATATGTTTATTTTATTTATTTGAATAAACGAAAAAGTGAATAAAATATAATCAAATGCTTAATAATAATCATAATCAAATGGTTATTCAATTTACATTTATTCTTTGTTTATCATCATCATTATCTATATCATTATTGTCTACGTTTGTTTCGAATTCATGTGAAGCATATTATTTACCAATGAAATATAATCTTGATCATGATTTAATTGATTATTTAACAAATATTAATGAATTGAAATATTATCCACGTCAAATAAGATCATGTAAGTTGTTGTTGAGAGGAATAAGATTTCTTTTTAAAAAAAAATATGTATGAAAAGATGGATAGTGGCTAGGAATGGAATCCAGTTGCTGGATTCCATTGCTAGTTAGACATTAATACTGTTGGATGCCGACTCAGTGGTCTAGTTATTAAGCATTCACACGCGAAACCGAATGTTGTTGGTTTGATCCTACGTTCAGAATCATGTATGCGCACTGCTGAGGAGTTCCATACTAGGATGAGACAGCCTCCCACTGCTTCCAGGTTTTAAATATTTCGGTTCTTGTTCATTATGGTTGAGTACAGAACAAAGGATAGTAATCAACTGTTACATGTAGACGCAAATATAGGGAATTGATCATAATAATGTCAAGAAAAACAATATAGGAAAAACAAGCTACACTAGACTCTTAATCTGGGACAGGCTAGTTACATTAAATATACTTCAACTGAAAATTTATCAATAACATATGACAGAAAAACTTATTATAAAGAACCATATAGTTTGTTCATGGTAAACATATTATCCTAATTTATCTTATAATGGGAAATATTCTATTTTATTATTGAATGATTGCTAAATTCTATTATGTAGTAAGAGTGATAACAAAAATTTGAATATTTTTGTTATTGTATGAATATTTATCTACATATACGGTTTAGATACTATTTTCTTTTCTGGTATGGACACATTCCATGAATTTTGTTCAGCCTAACTGTATACATTATGTACGTTTAAAACTGTTGCAACCTTTATAATCGTTTGACAAATTGTCTTTAAAAAAGTATATTTGCTTGATGAAAGTAAGGCAAATGACCGGTATTTTGAGGATAAATTATTAAGGAGTATAAAACAAGTCAAGTCGGTTAGTTGTTTAACAAAGGATATATTTGTATAAAAATTCCCTGTACATTTTATGCATATTCACTAACGAGATGAAGTTACAAATTGTTCATTAAAACAATATCCCACTAGGACAGCGTTTTTTTCTAAATTATTTATACCATGTCAGTTGCCGAATATTGTTTCTTGTAAAATTGACTGTCAATTCTACGCAGTTTCATAATTTGTTAAAACTATAATTTATAGACGACCTTTGAGTGACGTAAAAGTGCTTTTGATAGTGTCCATCTACTTGCTAGGGCTAAATGAGTGTTCAAAAACTGTATAAAAAATAAGGATTATGATTCACAGTTGATGGTTAGGGTTAAGAATTAGATTTAAAGTTTTCATCACGAACTGGCATCAGCTAAAGTCTCGAAACGCTCTTCAATCAAATGGAAGAATGAATTTTGTGCCAAAATCCAAGACATGTTATCTTATTTCTTATTGTTTCGTCCATGAATTACAGTCTCGCTCATAATTTTAATAATTACTTTCTAATTCACTGATTTTCAAAATATTCATTAATTCAAACTTTCTTTTTGTGCGTCCATTAACTCAAGTAGTATAAGGCAATAAAATTAGAGTAAAATAATATGACTTAGCATTTATGACCTAGTCAAATAAGAAATTGTCATCTTATTAAATGATAAATTTCATTAGTAATAATTTGGAGTATACTAAATAATTATCAGAAGGGGGTATCGTGGATACTACAGTATTTTTAATAGTTGAGATCATGAGTCAATTAAAGCTAGACCACCATGGAAAACCTGAAAATACTGGACGGCCATTTCGTCTTATTGTGGGACTCCTCAGCAGTTCGCATCCACGATCCGGCATCGCGAGATTCGAACCTAGGACCTACCAGTCTCGCGCCAGAGCACTTAATCGATAGACCACTGAGCCGGCATCCAACGGTGTTGATGTCTAACCTCAACCAATCCACGAGGCGGGATCGTGGATGCGCACTGCTGAGGCGTCCCACAATAGGACGAAATGGCCGTCCAGTACTTCCAGGTTTTCCATGTTGATCTAGCTTCAATTGACTTATGACCTCAACTATATACAATTTTATTCATCTAATAAGGTATAATTTAACTTGTATTATATTGTTATAGCATTGAAGTAAAAGACGTAAATATAGTGTACTTATAAAATGAACTGACCACTAGTCGTCAATATGGACTTCATAATCCTACGCTAATTACTGATAGTTTCGAACAATAATGTGACCTTATTGATAGGATTAGTCTTTTTTTAACTATATGGCTGTTCTAGATTAGAAGATTGAAAAACTAAAATGTGAACAGAGATTTATATCTGATATCATGATAACATGGGGATTTTGTATTCTTATTGTACACATCAATAAACGAATAATCTATATCTGCATACTGTTTGCTCAAACACTGTATATTGTGACAGTTTAAAATGAAATAATACTAAGGGTTATTTAAAATCTTCTCATATTATCTCTATGATTATTAGTTACGTCATGCATAATTTAATTCACAGTATACAAATAATATAAACTTGGAGTAATATAAGGTTCATATATGTATTGTCAGGTGTAACTTATTAGTAATAACACAGTATTAGTATTAACACACATTTTGAAAGAACTCTAGTTTGTTACAGTACAACGTAGAACTTGCAACATGGATAATTCAAACAGAGCATAATATATTTCAACAAGTTAAACGGGATCAGTAGATTATATAGATTTCCCACTAAGAACGTTTTACATTATCCCACCATTCCAAGTCTAATCACTCATGAAAGAATTCCAAACTTCTTACATATAAACAACAATTCTTCTTAAAGTCATGCACTACAAATGTAAAATTTTCAATGATAAATTATTAGTCTTCAGAATAAAAGGAAGTTGTATTTAGCAATATCTAGTGTTTAATAATGTTTGGCTCAATTCATCGAGTATAACAAATGATAAATGCTGAAAAAAGCATGTAGACGATGACTTGGGTACGTTGATGGTAATTCGGAAACTCCAAATCTTATTGCAGTGATATATAAAAGTCTAATCCAAAATTCTGTTGTATATAAATTTGTGACATCTATAAAGGAAAGCTCATATCAGAATAGGTAGTATTCAAAAATTATTAACAAATATGGCTGATCACAATACAAGAGCCGTATCAGGTAGAACTGAATTTTAGTGATAATTAATGATGTAATCACAAGTCAAAACAACAGTTGAGGCAGAATAATCCATTGATTTTGATTATATGGTTTCTCGTAGGCTGTTTACAACCGTGTTCGTATTAACACGTGATATTAAAGTACTATGTAGTATGGAATAATATACATCGATAAAAAAATAATCATGATAGTTAACACTATACATATATGTCATTTGAAGATGAAATTTAAAAAAAAAATACGACGGTGAGATAGAAATTATATACAAACAGAAATCTTATGGGACGGATTGTGAGACAATTATAGAATGTTTGAAGTTTTCAGAAATTTAGAGAATTGTTTTGATGAAAGACAGACAATTGACAGTATGGTATTTTGTGCACAACATTAAATTTAATTCAGAGATTATTGGTGGAGAAGTTATTCAGCGGAAAAATTACGAGATCTTCTACTACATAACATTTAACAATCTAGAGAGATATTAATTCATTGTGTCTACTGGTTTTCATGTAGATATCAATTAAAAGATGAATTTCAAAGGAACAAAGAAGGACGTCATCCACTTGACACGATGGGTTTTATGAAACATCTAAACCTTTTATAAGTGATTTAACAGTACTTTTTTTAAATTTCAACTGAAGCGTGTAGAAGTTGTTGCAATGGTCAAGCGCAAACTTCTTTTCAGAATATATTTTGAGTGTCAATAAATTCTCTATTCGCTCTCCTCTTTTTCACATGTGAAGGCACTTTTTATTTTCGGTATTTTCATTGTTTTCGTCAGGATAATTTACTATATAAATAAATAAATATATTCTGTCATAGTCATTTAATAAATAGCTTTCATTCTATTGAGTTACATTATTTCCAAAATTATGAATTACATTTGATCTCTTAGTTTACAGAATACTACATCTCCATTTTCAAAGCATATAAAAATTTACATTTTTCTGATGATTTGACATCGATAGTTTGTAACTACAGCGTTAACAATGAATCTCGATGAGTCTGTCTTCATTCTATTAGATTTGCCGTTGTTCTCTATTGACATAAGTGAACTCAGTCAAAGTTTTATAACAGTGATCCATATTGTTAGATATCTTTAACACAGTATAAACGAATCAATTTAAATAAATATGGTATATTTTTATAGAGGGAACTTAGTAATCTGAGTGAGAATATTTTTAGAAATGATATCAATGAACTGTTACAAGTGGTGTTGTTAAACGACCATAGAATTCAATTACTAATTCGTGAAACAATGTTAAACAATACTAGTTTATTGCTTCAACGCTTCAATTCAGAATGTGTGTTTTTGAATAAACGCTGTTATTTCGACTATGATAACAAAACTGCCATTATGTTGTTCATGTACAAAATGAAGTAATCAATCTGCAAAACAAAAGGGTAGTTTAAGTGATAATAATCTGTACATCACTATTAAACTATTCCACTCTAAAACATCATTTTTATATACTTGTCCTATTATTTAAATATTAACAAACTTGTTATTATACCATACAATAATAAAAACATCGATATATTAAGGGTCAATAACACAGACATTAACATTTATTGGAAGTACTAAAAGTATGCCGTAATTACTTTTTATAGTTCAGTACTATTATTATTTATTACTGTTACTAAGATGGTCCGTGATAGATAATGCTTTATTTGAAATAAATTACTTGATAACATTCTATACACATGATTACAAAACTGCTATCGATTATATAACATTTTATGAATTATTTAAACAATGTTTACCGTTCAAATATTTTGTAATTTTTCTACAATTAAATATGAGAATGAGGGTTTGTGGAGATTCTAGTGCTGTAACAGTTGAATTCATGGGTCGATCTAAACTAAATCATCATTGAGAACCTAATGTTGTGTGTGCTACTTATATATATATCGACATAAGTAGTATACAACGGTTGTTAGAAATATAATGTCTG